CCGAAAGCAGACGCTTAATGACTGAGCCACCCAGGTGCCCCAAATTTTAAAAATTTTAAAAAATAGTTTAATCCCAACTATATTTCTGGCAGATGGAACAACTTACTAATATTTGCAAAGAAGACTTTTAAGAGATTTCACATGCTAATTTGTTCCCAAATAGCCCTCTGAGTAGGTAGTTCCATTTTAGCTTTGGAAATAGTTCCTATCAGCCTGGGAATATTAGCCTTCAATTAGGACAATTTCTGTCCATAGAGTTCCTTTAAGAATAAAAAAAAAAAGTCCTCGGGCACCTGGGTGCTCAGTTGGTTAAGCGTCTGCCTTCAGCTTAGATCATGATCCCAGGGTCCTGGGAACGAGCCCCACATCGGGCTCCCTGCTCAGCTGGGAATCTGCTTCTCCCTCTGCCCCTCCCCCCTGCTCATGCTCTCTCCCTCTCTCTTCTCAAAAAAATAAATAAAATCTTTTAAAAAAAAAGGAAAGAAAAGAATTTAAAAAGTCCTTTTAAATATCTTATCAGGTTTCAGCTCAGACAAACTAAAATTTTCTGGCACTACTGAATTCGTTTTTTTTTTTTTAAACCAAAAGTTTACCTATTCCAAGTGATCTAGCACCCGATCCCAAACCAAAGCCTTTTATGATCTAACCAGGAACACAAGAGATGCCCCCAAGAGGGTACAAAAGATGCACTCTTCCCAAGATCCAGAGCCACTCCCAAAGACAGCCAAAAGACAGACAGACAGACAATTCTCTGGAGAGCTGGCAATGACCCTAGCCACAAATGGGAGTACAACTCCCATTTCTGTCTGGTCATCGACGTATTCTCCGGGCTCCTAACCTGATGTCTGGTCTCTTGCAGCATGCAGAAAGCCAAGCCAAGCTTCTGCACACAAAAGGAGACAGACAGAAAGCAACAGCTGTCCCTGGAGGGAGGGATCAGCAAGTGGGTACCCAAAACCAAATTTACAAGAGTCACAAAGGATCCAAAGAATTAATCCTTACAAATGCTTTTCTCTTGCCAATCAGAACCCAGAGGGAACGGACAAAGAAATTTTTACCATCCTCTCCCAATGAATAGAGATCCAGAAAGCAAACGAGGTAAAAATTCTTACCTTACCTGCTGGCTTCATCAGGCCCCAGCACCTCTCAGCGGCAGATCCCAGAAAGCCAAGAGAGCCCCAGCCAATGTGATCCCATCCTCATTACCAAACCATGGGGGCCCTTACAAGAAAAAGGGAGACCCAAGAAGTAATTAGGCCTCAGTGTTTACTTACTAGGTTCAACAGAGGGAGACAATAATGGAAAAGCAACTAAAGGATATGCAGAGACTACAGGAAGATAAATTATTTTAACAAGGTCTGTTTGTCTGGATCCCCTCAGCCTCAACTCCTCTTCTCTGGTGATAATGGTGTTTCTTCCTCCTGGTACAGGGAGGGCACCTTCCACTTGGGAATTTTATCTCCTGCTCTTAGGAAGAGAAAAGCTGCTCAGTATGTCCTTTCTGCATCTTGCTATCTTTCAAAAGAATCAATCTGCCAGAGCGGCATATTTTGGGGTGGCATATCCTGACCTCTTTCAACAGAAACCCTAAGTATCACAGGTCCAGACAGCAAAGGTTCTTCTTCCTGATGGACACTTTTTTTTAAAAAAGATTTTATTTATCCATTTGTGTGTGTGTGTGTGAGAGAGAGAGAGAGAGAGAGAATGAGCGCGCACAGCAGGGGGAGCGGCAGGCAGGGGGAGAGGCAGGCTCATGCAGGACTCAATCCCAGGGCCCTGGGATCATGACCCAAGTGGTGGTAGACACTTAACCGACTGAGCCACCCAGACACCCTTAGGATTTTATTTATTTATTTATTTATTTATTTATTTATTTATTTTTAAGTAATCTCCACACCCAATGTGGGGCTCGAACTCAAAACCCCAAGATCAAGAGTCACTGGCTCCTCGGACTGAGCTGGGCAGTGTCCTAATAACTCTTTTGCTGTAAAGGAGAACCGTAAATAGTTTCAATGTTGCAGACCATACAGTCTTTGTTGCAACTACTCATTATAGTGAGAGAGGAAACAATATAGAAACAAATGGGCATGGCTCTGTTCCAATATAGATTTATGGATTCAGAAATTTGATTTTTGAATAATTTTCATGTCATAGAATATTATTCTGATTTTTTCCCCCAACCTTTTGTCAACTGAGAAAAGGAGGCAAAACTGAAAAGGAACAAATGTTTCATTCGGGGTCTCAGAATTACAATTCGGGAGCACAGATTCCAGAGTAACCAGAAAAGTGTCTCCTTCATGGAGGGAAAGGGTTTTTATGAGAAAGAAGGAAGGGGTAATTACCTGATTTAGATAAAGAAGAAAGAAACCCTAGTAATTTGGTGCTGACTGATGTAGGAAAGACGTTAGGGTTCGAAGCCAACGGCCAAGAAAGAATTCTTGAGACATCTTTGGTGCAAAAAGGTGGTTTTATTAAAGCACAGGGACAGGACCCCGTGGGCAGAAATGGCTGCACTGGGGTCATGAGGGGTGGCTGATTATATACTTTGAAGTTGGGAGTGGGTTAGGGAGAGTTTAAGTCTTGAAGGAATTTTGGAAGCAAGGTTTCCAGGACCTTGAGGGGGCTAGCTGTTGTTGGGAAAAGGCCATTTATTACCGTCTAGTAAAACTTTAGTCATGAGACCCTTCCCATGTATATCGGTGGGCCATATGCTTGGGGGATGATTGCCAACATGTCTCTTGGGGGATAGAGATAAAGGACGTTTCCGAAGGAATTTTTATGTTAAAATAGACTTACAGGATCCCGGGGGGTCAGGCTAAGATTGCCTTTTGCCCTTAGCAATGATAATACCATCGAGGCAGCCGCTGAGTCCCTAGAGGAATGTCACTGCCTGTTTCAAGGACTTGTCTGTGGGCTGTAGGTAGTAAGGAAATTAAATTTTTCTTTTGCCTTTGTTTCCCACATCACTGACCAGTTGAGTCACTTCTGATTATTTTAATTTTACTGGTGCTATCAAATGAAACTGTCCCGGGTATGTATTAACTTTACTTTCTCCATATGATCTGAATGCCAATTGCTCTGTTGAAATTTTATGAGCTACTGCTTGTAAAACTATTGCTGATTCTCGCCCAGTTCAAGAGTTCATCCGTTGGAAAGGAAAATAGGGCTCCAAAACGGATTCTTTCATGTCCAGATTTTATACTATTTCACACATTTTAAAAAAAAATATAAGAAACATTTTTACCTCTTCAGCCTCACAGAACAGCAACGGGATTTGGACCACAGGCCGCAGTTTGCGACACCCTGGTTCCTTGTAAGTAACGTACGTTTCCATGGAAACTCCTATTATTTCCCTACAGGAACACAGGAAGTAAAGTACAGGGATATAGTTGTTTGCAGAGCTGCCTGTGAAATAAATTAATGCACGTAACGTGCCCAGAACCAGAAGAGTGCCTAACGTTTTAACTACTACTATTCTGGAACTGAGGTCAGATACCCAGCTCAAGTCAAGGTCGATGGCTGGGCCAGGATTCTACCGGGCCGCCGGCGCAGCCGAACTACACCCTGCCCCGACTTCCGTGAGTGTTTGCGGGATTAGACTTCCGTCGCAGGAGCCGCCGAGGTCGGGGCTCGGATCCCTTCTCAGGAATTCCGGGAGAATCGGAGAATCTGGAAAAGCAACTAGGCGACGGAGCAAGATTGGCCACCTCGGCACGGGAGGCGGGACAACGGACCGCGAGTCGCCGGCCTAAGGCTATCTGCGATTGGTCAGTGCAGTATTGGGCGGGTTGTTAGGGTGCGGCGACGCTTGTCCATAGGCCGGCGCAGAAAGGGGCGGGGAAACGAGGGTGGCCGGGCGACAACTGCTCTGCGCGTTGCGGAGAGACGCAAATAAGCGATTGGTCCGTAAAGTGCGGAAGGCAGCGTTTGGCTTCGCTCAGCGATTGGCCCGGGGATGGGATGCCGGCCTTTTATTGGTTACTACATCTGGAGCCCGGCAAAGCGGAACGCCGAGCCGCCCGCGATCGGCTGGCGAGGACTGGGGCGGGCGTGCAGACCGCGAAGACCGCGTGCGATTGGCCAGCACCGGGACGGCGTCCCCGGCCCCGGGTCCCGAGTCGCGGTGGGCTATGGCTTCTGGCGGCTGGCGCTGGCTGCGCGGCCTGCGGGCCGTGGGGCAGCCCCTGTTCCAAGGCCGTGCGCTGCTCGTCACGAACACGCTGGGCTGTGGTGTTCTCATGGCGGTCGGGGACGGCGTGCGCCAATCCTGGGAGGTCCGCACCCGGCCTGGCCAGAAGTTCGATCCCCGGCGCTCAGGTGAGGAGGCCGGCGCTGCTGGCCCTTGACCCCGGGAGACCTTTGACCCCAACCTCAGAATCGGAGACCTGTGACCTCAATTCCCCGCGGGACCCTTGACCTTGGCGTGCATCCAGGACCCTCATAGCCCACGCTCGGGTCTCCGTCCCCTCTCCCCGCGCCGGGGTCTCAGGCCTCTTCCCCAGCCCAGGTCTCCATCTCCTCCTACTTCCTGGTCCCTGTCTCCTCCCGGACGCAGTTTCCGTCCGCTTTCCTTATTCCGTCACTGAGACCAAGCACTGAGCACTGGAAACTGCACCAAGGATAGTCAGGGGCTCAGCGTCTGGACCCAGCCAGCCAGGGATTGTGCCCTGGCCCCGCACATCCCAACCTGTTGTGCCTGTTTCCTCCTCCGGAAAGCTGAGCAATGGTAGAACTCGCTCACGGGGTGGTGAAGGGGATGAGGAGAGAAAACGGGAGAGGAGCCACTGGAACGGTTCCTGGCAGTGGAGCTTGTAATGGGAGAACATGCCGGTGGGCTCTGGGAGGGCTTCAGGTTTACCAGGGTGGGAGGGTAACCAGGGACGGAATGGATTGGGGGGCTTGCTGGCCCCCCTGACTCTTGAACTGTTCTCAGCGAGCATGTTTGCAGTGGGCTGCAGTATGGGTCCCTTCCTGCACTACTGGTACCTCTGGCTGGACCACCTGCTCCCAGCGTCTGGCCTCCCTGGCCTCCCAAACGTCCTCAGGAAGGTGCTCATCGACCAGCTGGTGGCCTCTCCCACGTTAGGCGTCTGGTACTTCTTGGGTAAGGAGGCTTGTGAGCTTGGGCTTTGTCCTTCCCTGTGATAGGAGGGGCAGAGCCCGCTTTGTGTTAAGAGGGATGATGACGTGCATTTCTGATGGGCCTCTTCTGTGTGTGGCTCTGGACTGGGTGCTGGGTCACAGTGGTGCCAGGACTGACCCACTGGGGGCAGGTATGAACGGCAGAATCGGACAGTGGTGCTTAGTGAGAGAAGGACGAAGCAGTCTCAGGTGGGGCTCCCTGGGCAGTGGTTGGGAGGGCCGCCCAGAGGAGAGGACACTCAGCTGAGACTTGAAGAAGGAGCCAGCAGGCATGAAGAACTGCCCATGCAAAGGCCCTGAGGCTGAAGGAAGAGTTGCTGAGGCTGGGGTTGATGGGATACAATCATCCAGCCCTTGGCTCTGGGAAGAGTGTCGCTCCGGCCCCCCCAGGCTCAATTTCGTCCTTTTTGAAAGAAGGGAAATAAAACAGCCTCAGCCTCAGGAAGGGTACTTCATCCTTTGCGGTGCCTGTGTCTGTCTGTTTTTAGAGAGGGAGGTGGGAGGGGCAGAGGGAGAGGGAGAGAGAGAATCCTAAGCAGGCTCCACGCCCAGTGCGGAGCCGAACTCCGGCTCAATCCCAGGACCCCGAGATCATGACCTGAACCGAAACCAGGGGTTGGTCGCTTAACCTACTAAACCACCCAGGTGCCCCTAAGGGGGTGCGTGTTTATTTATGACCTCTCCCTCACTGGAACCAATTTGTTCTGCTTTCTTTCTCTACACCAACCACTCTGCTGTGTGTGGCCCTTCCCACCACAAGGCTTTTAAACTTCTTGGTCTGTCTTCCAGGGACGCCACTGTCCCTCAGGGTTCCTGACGCATCTGCTCCATCACCAGTACTCTCCAGCCTCTGACACTCTAATTTGTTGGTCTCCTTCCCAGGCCTTGGCTGCCTGGAGGGCCAATCGCTGGATGAGAGCTGCCAGGAGCTGCGGGACAAGTTCTGGGAATTCTACAAGGTGGGCCACGCCCAACCCTTCGCTCCCTGCCCCGCCCTTCGCAGCCTCCGCCCTGCAAGGCCCCGCCCCTCACCACACTCCACCCCTCCCCGCAGGCCGACTGGTGCGTTTGGCCAGCTGCCCAGCTGGTGAACTTCCTCTTCGTGCCCCCCCAGTTCCGAGTCACCTACATCAATGGCCTGACGCTGGGCTGGGACACGTACCTCTCCTACCTGAAGTACCGGGTGAGCTCGGTGGGCGGACCAGATACCCAGGGGTCTCCTCAGGGGCCACACGTTTGAACCCCAAATGGCGGTGCAGCTGCGTTCTAGGGTGAGGTCCTCCTAGGCCTGTGATAATCTGCAAACTACAGCAGGTGGGTGGGGAGCTGAACCCCAGCAGGGTGAAGACCCAGCCCCTGTCTGCTGTTTGATGTGACCTCGGGCAGGACCTGCTGCGTCTGCCCCGCAGGACTGAGCCCAGCCAGAAGACAGATGGGTGAGGACTCTCGCTTGGTGAAGAGGAATCCAGAGGGGTGAACGGGGTGTGTGACCAGACCCCTCTTGCATGGACAGATCCTGGGCCCGTCCACCCCTAGGCTGCGTGGCCCTGGGCACTGTGCAGATTGAGCTGCCCCAGCCCTCCAGACTGGATGCCAGACAGAGCAGGACTGACTCTGAGCAGGCCAGGCCTGGTCCTGGCCCCTCCCCAACCCCTAGGCATCTGGCTGGGCTGCCCCTTCCAGGCCTAGTATAAGACCTCAGTTTCCCCACCTGGAACACAACCATGAAGATGGTCACCAAGGAGCCCCTCTCACTGCAGGCCCTCCGTGAACCAGTGACAGATGTTCCCGTCCACAGCACTGGGCCCCAACCAGCCCGTCCCAAGCCCCAACCCCTCAACACTATTATGGGCTGGGCCCTGGGCCCAAGGTGGGGACACAGCCCATCCCCTTGGAGCAGGGCCCAGCCTGGAGTCAGCCCCCAGAATCTGGAGCCTTGGGCAGGGCCAGGTGGCTTCCAGTCTCATACTCAGGTCACAGACTGTGGAAATTCTATTAAATTCTTTGGTCATTGAAAATCCTGTGGATGACCAAGGCCACCCTGGCAGGCTGGCACTCATGGGGACACGGTGTCATCCATTCACTTTATTGGGTGTGTGTAGTGTTGTCATGACATCTCCTGGGGATCTGGGGGGAACATTTGACACTCATGACGTCAGAACAGGTCTGGTGTTGGGGGGGTCCCCAGGGTGGCGAGTACCCACAGCAGCCCTCACCTCCAAATAAGGGTAAAACTTTGGGGGTGAGGAGCCAGGCGGGCCATTACCTGGCTCTGATCCACCCCATGGTCCATGCTGAGACCCCCACAGTGGCCTTGGCCCACCGTGTCACAGCCGAGAGGCTGGCAGACCCGACTACCTCCCATCACCCAATCAGCCTGCCCTGGGGGAGGGGTCATCGGGCCCCCTCTGCAAAACCGGTAACTGTTGTTGGGGGTGAATTTTAAAAAAGGTGGGGTCTTGAGAGGAGGGTGAGTGGTGAGTTCACAGGGCCATGCCACGCCACGCCACGGCAGGGTGGGGACAGGGCTGTATGTACAGGACGGGACACGGGGTGGGTGGGGAGCCTGAGTCCCTGGGGGACATCTCCAATAAATAAATAAATAACTACGATAATAAATAAGGGTGAGGGGCTAAGTTGGGGGCAGGGGGGTTCTCACGCCCTGGGCCAGTGGGAACTGGATCAGGCCCAGGGGGTGGGCAGGGGTGGGGCCGGGATGGGGCTGGAGGCAGCTCTCAGCAGGCGCAGTCCTGATGTGGAGGCGCCTGCTGGTCCGTGAGCTGCGGGCCCTGCTTGGCGCCGGTGACCGCAGGGTCGGCCGTGTCCAGGGACTCAGACATCTTCTCGCAGATGACGTCTACCAGGCGCTCAAAGGTCTGCTTGACATTGATGTTGTCCTTGGCGCTTGCCTCAAAGAACTCAAAGCCTGTGGGTGGGGAAGGGAGGGGTGAGGGCCCTGGTCCCCTCCCACCGCCCCCCCCAGAGATGCTTCTCTGAGGGCAGGGAACATCTGGAGATTCCTGCTGCCAACCACTTGTGAGAGGTGCCAACAAGTCCTGCAAGGAAGCAGGTCAGCCCTATGTTTCCCGCACTCCTTCCTTCACCCTAAAACTGTCCCCTTCTCGTCTCCAGGCCCCTGGCAAGACCTATTTCCCTGCTCCTGCCATCCACCCTAGACTGTGCCCTGGCCCCTGGCAGCATCTGGCACTCCATCCACCTGTGCCCCCCGCTTGCTTACACACCCTCTGGCTCCCAGTCCTTTGCAGGAGTCCCAGATCCTCGGCATATGGCGCAGGCCCTGCATGATCAGCCACGTTTCCCCCAAGTGACCCTCGAGTTCCAGCCATATAAAATGATTTGCCAGAACTCCCAGGATCTTCCCCGCCTCTGGCCTTTGTCTAAAGTTGTTTCCTCTGCCTGAGAGACCACCCTTTGCTCAAGCACCAGATCCGGCGCCTTCCTCCAGGTCTTACCTACACCAGGCACACCCCGCCTCCCCGCCCCCCCCCGCCATGCATTCCCCCAGCCCGGGTCTCTCTCTCTGCCCCACAAAATGAGGCCTCTTGAGCCCAGCAACCCAACACGAGGCTAGCAGAGAGGGTGTCAGAGTGAATCAGTAACTTACTGCACAACGAACTCCTATGCATCCATCAAGATCCAGCTCCTGGCTCCAGGCCATTTGCAGAAAGTGTGAATTGTCTGGATTCAAATCCAGGCCCTGTCCTGGCTTTGCTGGGAGGTCTTGGGTGTGTCCCCTCCCTTTCCAGGGCCTCAGCGTCCCTTTCGTAGCCTGTAGGTGGGCAGCCCCGCTAGGCACTCACCAAGGTGGTCAGCCAACTGCCGGCCACGCTCCGACGACACCACCCGTTCATCCTCCATGTCACACTTGTTTCCCACCAGCAGCACCTGGGCATTGTCCCATGAGTATGTCTTGATCTGGGTCGACCTGGGGGAGGCAGTGACGGGTGGGTCAGGTCTGGGGGGATCCTAGCTCCGCCAACCTCTTGTCTCCCCGTCCCTCAGCACCCTCTAGCCCCCCACCTCCCGAGTACCGCTTGAACTTGGCAGGCTCGGGCCTTCCTCCCAGCCTCTGTCCTGCCATGAACATGGTCCCACGGCTCCCTGACCTTCGAAATCCCTTTCATGCAGGCTTGCCCACCCTTCCCAGATCCCCATCCCCCAGACACAAGAACTTCTCCCTCCTCTGCCAATTCAGAAATTTCCCTAAAATGTACCGTTATTTTGGGCAGAAATGTAAACGTTTCTATCCTTTCATCCTATGCAAACTCTCCTTATATTTTCTGCCCCCTCCCCCCTTTTTTTTTAACCTATACATTTAAAATTTCATTTTTCTACCTGAAACGAAACTCTTTTTTCCCCTTAGTTTGAGCCAGTGCCACCACGTTTTAGTTATTACAGACTGAGAGCAGGTCTGAGAATCCAACACCAAAGACCGTCTGGGACGGGGTGAGGGTGTGCTCACCAGTCCTGCACAGCGTTGAAGGACTCTTCATTGGTAATGTCATACATGAGGATAAAGCCCATGGCACCCCTGTAGTAGGCTGTGGTAATAGTCCGGTACCGCTCTTGCCCTGCTGTGTCCTAGGGGGAAGAAAAGACAGGGGTCAGAGAGGCCCCACGCGTGAGCTCCTCAGAGTGGAAACCAACTCCAAGATTGTCCAGTCCAGCCCCGCTGAGGACCGGAGAGAAGCAGGGGGCTGGCACAGTGGCTCAGGGAAAGCAGGCTGGCCACCTACATGGAGAACATGGTGCTCAACCATCCTCCAGAGGCAGGTACCTACAGAATCATTCCATCATTCATTCAACATACCTGGGCGTTGACCTGTGTGTGCCACCCTGGGGACACAGCTGTTAACAAAATGGACAAGAATCACTGCCTCATGGAACCGACTACACAGTACAGGGAACAGATAATAAACACAAAAAAAGGAAGAAAAATGCATCCTATGTTGGAAGGTGAAAAAGACTGAGGGGAAAAAGTTGGATCAAAGAAGGCCGGGCAGTGTGGGCGAAGGTATGGTTTTAGAAGCTGAAGGAAGTGAGGACGGAACCATGTGGGGATTAGGGGAAAGACAATCCCGGCCGAGGGCAAAGGCCCTGAAGTGGGTCTGTGCCTGGATCATCTGAGAAACAGTAAGGAGGCGGGGGTGGAAGGAGACAGACCAAGCAAGGTCTCTCAGGTCAGGTAGGAGCCATGGAAACGCAATGAGGAGAGGAGGGACAGCTCTGGCTTGGGATTTAACAGGTTCCTTCGGGTCTCCATGGGGTTAAGGGAGGTGGCAGACCCTGTGGAAGGTGTCTGCTCCTGTCCCAGAGAATGTGGTTGGGGGCCAAGATCCAGCTGAAACCTCATACAGACTCACATGAAAGCACTTAATGGGGGGAAAACTGAGGTACCGAGCCAAGTGATGCTCTCGATAACAGCAGGCAGAGAGGACCCAGCATTTGCTCCTTCCCCGCTCCTGGAGAGCAGTAATGAGGCACCCACGGGAGAACAGGGCACTCTCTTCTGGGCCTCCAGCCCCTGATACACAGAAGGCACCTGGTAAATGCCCAGGGTGTGGATGAATGAATCCAGACAAGAAAGTGGCTAAGCTGGGGCTGCTTTTCTGGGAAGGTAAACTGATAGAGACAGGAGTTCTCCAGCTGGACCCACCCAGATCTGCAGCTTGATCCTCTTGTCGTTGCGGTAGATGGTCTTGACCTTGAAGTCAATGCCCACAGTGCTGACGAAGGCAGGCGTGAAGGAATCGTCTGCATAGCGGAAGAGGAAAGATGTCTTGCCCACGCTGCTGTTGCCAATGATGAGGATCTTGAACATGTAGTCGAAATTCTGGTCCGAGGACTCCTTCTGCCCATAGCGCGAGTCTGTGGCGGATGCCATCTGGGTGTGCAGGGTGTAGGTGAGCCTGAGGAGTCCCCTTCCGCCCCCAACTGCCCAAGCCCCAGGAACAGGGTGCAGAGAACTCCAGAGCCCCTGAGGGGCTAGTGTTTAGAGATTACCTTTAACTCGTCAGGAACCCCAGTACTAATGGTGGGGCCCATGGCAAAGGGCGGGCCGTGACCTTGAAAGGCTGGAAGTGTCAAGGGAGGAGCTCAGAGAGATGGGTATGGGGACACCCCTGTAGCCCCCTCCAGAATGCCTTCACCCCAGATCGAGCTGTAATCCTAACCCCTAAGGCTGAGCGGGTAGGGGTGACTGCGGCCGGCCCCGCCCCCCATCAATCATTCATGTTCCTCAGATCGGAGGCGCGCGGGCGCCAAGTGCACACGCGTGTACGTTCCCGCGGGGATGTGCGTCGCAGCACCCACTTCCCCCAGACTCCCAAGCTGGGAGAGATCGGGCTGAGACAACTGGTCATGTGATAGGGGCGGGGCGTGCACACGCTCACGTGCACGCAGTAGGGAACACACCCGTACACGCGTGTGCACATGAGAGTCAAATACATTCGGTGCACAGGAAAGGGACACAAGACACTTGTCCGCACACCAACACGCATATACAAATGTGCAAACCCACCCGTGCGCGAAGCGCCCTCCACCCATGCAGGCGTGTACACGTCACCCACGCGGACACGCATTCCCGTGCACGTATGCACACGGCGTGCACGCACACGCACAGTCCATGCGTCTCCTTCCACCCGCGTGCGGCACGCACTCACCGGGGTCAGGACACCCACCGGGTCACACGAGCATACCCCGGTACGTAAGCAAAAGGGTATGCACACAGACCCGCTGGCACAGGCGGGCGCGCACACGCGTGTTCACACCACACGCACGCGCACGCACACAGCCTCCCGTGCGCACAGCTTCCCGCAAGGCACTCGCCTCCCTTCCCCCTCCGCCGCAGAGGCCAGGGGTGGGGGGTGGGGGTGAGGAGCGGGCAGGTAGGGAAAGCCAGGGCCCTACCCCTACAAGGGCTGTGACCGCCGCATCCTTCCCATTTAACCCTAGCCAACCTCGTCCCCTACTCTGCCAAGCCCATCAGTCAAATGAAGGTTATGTAGGTGTTCGGAGAGGCGGGGAACTAGGCCGCCCGGGAACTCACCTTGCCCTGCACCGATGCGGTGGCGACCCTAGGGGCAGCGACTTTTTGGCGGCGGTGATGACGGGGCCCCCTGCGTTGATGTGGGGCTGCGCGACAGGGGCAGAGGCGGCGGCGGCAGCGGCTCAGGCCCCTGCAGTCCGCGGTGACGTCCTGCAAAGAGCGAGGCGGGGCCTCACATGCAGATACAGTCGTGACGCCATCCTGGGGCGGAGCGGCGCCTGGAGAAGCAGCCCACTGACGCACGCAGAGCCGGGAGGGGCGGGGCTCCCGCGCGGATTGACGCACGAATGGGGTGCAATCAATGTGCTCATCCAGTAGAGCGCGGGGGCGGTGCCTACCTGCTCCTCCTCCTGGCTGTGTCAGGGAGGCGGGACTGAGTGGTACCCTCTCACTGGCTTAAGCGCCCGAGCGACGGACTGAGTAGCCAATCAGAGATCATCACCCTTCTGTTCCTGTCCAATGGTGGCTCCCAAGTGGTTGCAGGGATGAGAGGTTGAGGCCTTCGCTAAGCCTGGGTCTTCAGGGGGCGTTCTCTTTCCCCGCCCCCTCCCACCTTTGGTCTGAGATTTCTGCGGTCCCCGCCCTGTCTTGGGTGCCGCGACCTCTTGTTAAAAACATTCTCAATTCCCAATCTCAGAAAAGAGGAACAAACATCTGAGAGACGCTCCATGCCCGCTGAGTTCAAAATAAGTACAAATGGGGGCGCCTGGGGTGGCTCAGTCGTTAAGCGTCTGCCTTCGGCTCAGGTCATGATCCCAGGGTCCTGGAATCGAGCCCCGCATCGGGCTCCCTGCTCAGCGGGGACCCTGCCTCTCCCTCTCCAGCTCCCCCTGCTTGTGCTCTCTTTGTCAAATAAATAAATAAAAAATATTAAAAAAAAATAAGTACAAATGGGGGAAAAAAAGCGAAAATAGGGGCCAAGAGAGACCCCATCCAATTTCTGAGGCGTAAGATCTCCAAAGAGGACTGAGTTGGTAGATGCCCCATCCTGTTTCTGAGATGAAAAAGAAGAAAAATAGGGATCAAGAGAACGAATTTCTCGAAAAGAAGGAAGGGGCTAATCGACACAAGAACCCCTCCTCTCCCTGAGCCCCACTTTCCGGAGAAAAATTTGAAGATAATGCTGAAGGGGGCAGAGAAATGGCTTACCTCCTAAATCCCCCAAAACCTGCAGGAAACAAAAACGCGAAGCAGGGAGTCTTAGCGAGGTTCAAAGACCTCGCTTGGGACTTGGAAGGAAGACCGGCAGTCGGTGGCGCCCCAAACAGTAAAGATGGGGCTGGGAGATGCTTAATCCGACCCAGGTTCCTGACTTAAATGACAGTGGTCCCATTCCCTCCATCCTGGGGAAACAAGACTCAGACCGTGGAGACTCTGGGGGCTGAGATGCTCAGTCGTTTACCTCCCCAAATCTTGAGGGGAAATATCAGCAGGGCGGAAGGGGGCTGGAGAATGAGACCCTATCCCCCATTTTGGATCCCTGCCCCTCAACTCCGGTCCCCAGAGAATCCTGATCTCCTTGCTTCCTCCCCAGGCGCGGGGCGGGGGTGGGGGGGGGTGGTGTTCGTCCTGTTTATAAAAAGCTCGCCAGCTGCGGAGGCGCCGAGAGACCAGAATAACTTAGCGTCTCGAGCCCGCCCTCCGCCGCCCCCAGTCGCCGCCCCCTGGAAGTGCGGACGTCCCACGCTTTCCGCCAGCGTTTGGGAAATCTATTTTGATTAAGGGTAACATTTTTGTCCCTCTCCTCCACTCAGGACTCTAGAAGTATTACGAACCTACTGCGGAGAATTGGAAAATTGAGAAAAACATAAAAAATAAATAAATAAAAATAAATTCACCCCTAATCTCCCCCTACAGGGAGATCGGCGTTTGGTGGCGTCCCAAACACGGCTGGCCCAGGACCCTGCCCGCGCGCCCCGGTGGAGGTGAGGACGTGTAAGGCTGCTCAGCTTCCTTACTTCCCAAACGCATGCTTCGCGCTTTGTACGTGAGTGGCACTCAGAAATACCTGTTTTGGGGGTGCCTGGGTGGCTCAGTTGGTTAAGCGACTGCCTTGGGTTCGGGACATGATCCCAGCGTCCTGGGATCGAGACCCGCATCAGGCTCCCTGCTCGGCGGGAAGCCTGCTCCTCCCTCTCCCACTCCCCCTGCTTGTGTTCTTTCTCTCACTGTATCTCTCTCTGTCAAATAAATAAATAAAATCTTAAAAAAAGAAAGAAAGAAAGAAATACCTGTTTTGTTCCCACCCCCCAAGGGGAAAGGCCTACAACAATGCGCATCAGCTGCTGCACTGAGGGATTTGTATTTTGAAGTAAAAATAATGCAAGGCCTTTATTGTTCAGAATCAGCATTCCACTCCAGAATTAGGGGTGGTTGAATGAGGAACTGCTGCACAGCGCGGGACACCAGAGCTGATGAGGGAAAGGCCTTAAACCCTTCCAAGTCCCACCCCACTCAAAGTAAAGGCCAGACTCCGCCTCAGAGCCCCAGGCCCCCTAGCCACCCACCTCCCAACAGCTACCTCCCCATCTCATCTTGCTCCTCCAATTAGATGCTCCCTTTGGTTCAGGTGCAATCCTGCCTCATGGGCTTTGCACCTGCTGTTCCCTCTGCCTGGAGCACTGTTCCCCAACCTCCTTCTAAACCTGGCTCACTCATCCCCTTCAGATCTCTGATGGACACTCACCTCCTTTCAGAGGTTCCAATTTCATGTCACCTCCCTATCACATCACTGTATTTCTCCTTCCTGACACATCCCCTATCAGAAATAATTATTTGGGGGCGCCTGGGTGGCTCAGTTGGTTAAGCGACTGCCTTCGGCTCAGGTCATG